AATACGAGAAGCTGGGTTCTATGAAGAAAAATGTGGCAACAGGATTGGAGGAAGACTCATGAACAACCTGCGATATGCAAATGATACAACCTTGCCTTTTACCTAAATGCTCAGAATTCAGGTGATTGATGATGGCCAGCTATTGTTCTTGTGAGGCAGGTAGCGTGATAGTTGTTTCTTCCTTTCTCCAAGACCCATCCAGTCAAAGTCATGCTGGAAACAACTTCAGCATGCACCGTGGTTGGACGGCCCCTGTCTCTGCACCCACCTCTGTCTCCATCCACTTCCTTGTTGCCATAGGAGACTGTGATTGGCTTCCCACAGGGTCATCTCAAAGGCATCAGAAATGCTTCTGACAACAAGGCCGGTGGACAGTGCCCACCTCTCAGGTGTGCTGTCAGCTGGTCTTGGTGAGCGCATGTGCATGTGTGTGTGAGTGCACGTGTGTTCCCATGTGTGCACTGTGTGCTCCCCTGAGTGTGTGACGAGAGCCGGGCCCTTGGTCCCCCTCGCCTGTCTTTACCAGCTGCATGCTATGAGTCAGCATGTCCCAAGGGTGACTGGAGTATAGTCATGTGTACACGAGGTCTGTGGCCTCACATTTGGCCCGTGCCCGAGTCCTTCTAGCTCAGAGACCCTCCGTGTTTCCACTGCTGTAACGTCCAGACTCCATAAACCAGACAGGTGGGAAACCAGGGCCGCTCTGAAGGGACCTCAGACCTCTGGGATTTCTGCTCTTCGGTCCGTCTCCTCTGAAAAGTTGAAACCATAGGGCATGTGAATTGAAGCCGTTGACGATGTGGGGTGCTGGGAGACCAGGCATCCCTGCGGCCGGGGTTCATTCTGCTGTCTTTCCCACAGAAGGATCTCATTGCTGCATTTGACAGTGGAGACCAGAAGGCGTTCTTCAGTCAGTGGGAGGAACACGTTCCCAGTTCAATCCGGGACGGGGACTCCCTGGCCCAGAAGTTGGAGTTCTATCTTCATGTCCACTTTGCCATCTATCTTTTGAAGCACTCCACAGGGGGACCAGTAAGTTCCTCTTGGTTTTGGGGTAGGCTTGAATGCTGTGGTGGGGGAGAGCATTAGTTCTTTTGTCTTCCAAATGAGCATGGCTTTAGTTTTGTGGCCATTTTATCATGTGCTGAGAGGGTGCAGGTGTGTTCGTGAATGATTTTCTACCTCAATTCCAGGAACATATTTTTCTAAATTATCTGGCAGTGTAATCATTTCTGCTGTGAAAATGACATTGAATACCTCAAGTTTTTGTTTTTCTTCTTTTAAATTTTATTTTGTTGTTACTGAAAATATTCCATACCTCACATTTTTGGAAACTCAACAGATGAAGTTTTTTTGGCAACTTAATATGTACATGTATGTTAAAGATAATACATGTTTAGATGACATGTTAGACTATATTAGAATATAAATTTGAACTTAAACTTGACAGCGGAAAAAGAATATGCCTGCCATGGAGTCCGTTTGAATGTGGAAGTCCCTTTGAGTGATAATAGGGAAACCCAATCAAAGCAAATGCTTTGTGTCAAGTTGCTTGGACTCTTAGTGAACCTGTGGTGGTGGTGGTTTTGTGTCGTGGCATCAGTTCCGACTCATAGCAACCCCGTAGGACAGAGTAAAACTACCTGATACTCTTCCCAAAAGGAACTCTGGTAGCGTAGTGACTACCAGTTGGGCTGCTAACCTCAAGGTCAGCAGATTGAAACTACCAGTGGTTCTATGGGATAAAAAAACGAAGCTTTCTGCTCCCGTAAAGATTTGTAGTCTCAGAACCCCCCTACAGGGTTGCTGTGAGTTGGAACCGACTCCATGGCACACCACCACCCCCTGGCTTCCCAAGGCTGTGCCTTTCTCCCACTAACTGGGTGGTGACTTTGAACCAGCAGCCTTTTGGTTCATAGCTGAGCGCTAGACCACTGTGCCACCAGGGCGCCTTCCCAGTTAGTTGGGGCGGTGTGAGTGATGGAGCAGGAACTGAAGAAGCTTGGCTTCCCAGGACCTTAGACTTCTGCCACAGGAGACCTAAACAAGCCCCCTTATTCATCCCTGTAGGACAAAGGACAACTGGATGAAAGGGTTTCTTACTTCAGAACCTACCTGGAGACCAGAGGGGCGGCCCTGAGCCAGACCACTGAGTTCCTTCCTTACTACGCCCTTCCTTTTGTTCCCAACCCCAGGGTACACCCGTCATTTAAAGAGCTCTTCCAGGTGAGTGGCGGCCTTTGTCTCTTCCATCCTGAGCAACCTTGGGGCGGCTCCTGGATGATGCTTTGTAAGATAAACAGGGTTCTGCTGTTGGGGGGAAAAAGTCATACAATCAGTGATGTCAGTCATACAATCAGTGATGTCATTCAAGACTCCATTCTCCGAATTAATTAAGAAACGGACATAAAAGGGAGTGGCCTTTTAACGACAATACAACAGAACTGGTCCCTGCTTCTCCCATCAGGCGTTGCCTTCAACACCCTCAAATTCTTTTGGAAGCTTCATAGTCAAGCTTGGGAAAGGTTCTTATTTTCAAAGCTGAAAAACTTATGAGAGGTGAAGAAAAAGATAGCAATAAATTATTGCCAGAATAGTTTTATTCCAGTCTTATCCCTGTCTTTATATTTTCAATGTAATTATTTACATCATAGGGTAAGTCCTTATATTGAAAATATATTCAGGCTCTTTCTGCCATCTTGGAGTCTATGGAGGCCTGCTGGGAACAGGACTTCAAAGGCGGCACAGTGTGTCTACAAGGCTTTGGGCCAAGGCCATTTCTGCTGGCTATGAACAGGGACTCTTGAACCAGCTCTTCTTAAAATTGAATGTGTTTATGCTTGAGATGAAACCGAATTCTACTTAGGCAAGAGCTGTGCTTATGTGTGCAAAGCAAAGGACAACACAGTGACTCCTAGCGACAAACCTAACAAATCCAGAGTCATCTGGAGAAAGGTAACTCGTGCCCATGGAAACAATGGCATGGTTCATGCCAAATTCCAAAGAAACCTTCCTGCTAAGGCCATTGGACACAGAATCCATGTGATGCTGTATTCCTCAAGGGTTTAAACTTATTGAAAAGTAAATGAATAAAATTGTGGATTTATTAAAAAATATACATATATATATATATATGTATACAGAATAGTAATCGCCAACAGAGTCATCTAACTGGAGGTGGCATGTCACAAGAAAGGTTAGTGTTTCTTTTGTTTGGCTTTGCTTCGTAAGATGTTTGGGTTTATGTTGGCCAGCAGATTCCTTTAATCTGATTGAGCACCGAGAGCCCTGAAGTGTGGCACAACATTACCAACAGAAACGCCTTACAGCGCTCTGAAGTTGTAGACACTTTGCCAGGACAAACATTTCTGGCTCATTGGGCAGCATGGTGCCCAGTAGTGAGCTGGCACACTGGGCATTATGACTGGGTGAAGGAATACATGGAGCTGGAGAAGAGGGTGGGAAGGTCTGAGGGAGACGGGGCCGAATCTCAGAGATATGTCAGTAAGAACTAACTCCTGGTGCTGGGACTGATTTTTCTGGAATCTTCTTGGTTTGGGTGGAAGTATCTTTGAGAAGATGTGGTAGAAAAGAGCTCTAAGACCATGGCTGTCATACCATCCTTTATTTAGAAGTCATTGTTTCCTTCTTAATGAGCGAAACTGAGAAACATCATTCCTTTTTCAGGGAGAAATCAAACCACCGTATTTGTTGGTAATGAGATCCCCTCCTGCTACTGAGCTGTCTCATTAATTGTTGATACAATGGACTGCTTGAAGCAGAGAATCATTTCTGTGATTATTTTTTTCTCTCTCTCCAAATGGGGGCTATAGAAAGTTTTCTTTGGCAAACCTGTGACAACTTAGTTGAAACCTGATACGCCTACCTGTGCTATGTGTGCCTAAACAGTATTGAATTCTTTTGGGTGCTCAACAAAATGAGGGTGCTAACTGTGTTTGTGTTTCATTCGGTGCGAGTCAAGTTCTGGACATGGTTCTGTGTCCCTGCTTAGGAAAGAACTCCATTCTTTCCTTCTGTACCGCTGCTGGAATCTCGTATAAGTGAATTGGTCACAGGTCCTAAAAGCTGTTGTTCGCAGTGTCACCTCACTGGCCAGACACCTTGCATCTGGTTTCAGGGACTCTGCAGGGCTGCTGACCTCACATCCACGTCCACCCAACAACACGGTCCACACTGAGGGACTCAGTTACTGGATTTTTCTCTCTCTGTTTTTTCCTTCAGGATGCTTGGACTCCGGAGTTAAAGTTGAAGCTGGAAAAGTTTCTGGCTTTAATTTTTAAAGCCAGTAACACGCCAAGGCTTTTAACCCTCTGTGTATCCTTTTGAGTTGATGGAGAACACTCCCCCCACTCCTGGTGTTGGGGTGGATTTTATTTGGAGCAGTGCAGAATGTCAAGGGTGTGGGGAGGTACCTGGGAGGATATGCTGAGGCCTGTCAAGGTTCCACTCTGGGCTCTGGGTCGCTGAGACTCAAGGTTGTTGTTGTTAGGTGCCATTGAGTCGGTACCAACTCAGCGATCCTGTGCACAACAGAATGAAATGCTGCCTGGTCCTGGGCCAACCTCAGAATCGTGGCTATGCTTGAGCCCATTAATGCTGTCACTGTGCCAATTCATCTCGTTGGGGGTCTTTCTCTTTTTCTCTGGGAGAGGGGCTTATTTATATCATGTGTCCAAAAGTCTGTCTTTGTGGAAAAGAACCCTTTTATAAGAAGCAGACAAGCCAATCACTTTTAGGCCTTGGCCATGCCAGCTGGATCGGTAATGAGATCACTTGTCATTCAAATTGGGGCCTTTCACTCACCAGAATTGTTGCCCAGCACAAGTGTGCACTTCATGGATTTGTAGTCAGTGTGTGGAGTTTGGCAGCCATCTCCACAGCCCCTGTCAAAGCAGGACACTGCCGAGGGTAGAGAGGGGCATGGACCAGGCGGGTGCCAGGCAACAGCGGTGGAGCGAGATTCCCAGCCAGAGTGGAAGGCGGGTCATCTCACGGGGGTAGACCCAGTTTCCCACAGCTTGTTGGTCTGTAAGGATACTGATCCGTTTGTTCTGAGGAAGAACTTTTCAAAAGTTAACACCTGATTTCATAACAAGAATATACTGTCTTGAATTGTGACGTTCATATTGGATCTAATTTAGTGAAATACTGATAAGTGCTTTGCTGCAGAATACTGTTTGCTTCCTCTCTGACTCCAAAGCCTTTGACCCCCTTTTCGTAACTGACGCTTGTTTGTCTTGTCTTGGGGTTCCAGGGCGCACAGCTTTTACTTCAGCTGCTGCTGCTTTTCTTTACAAAATAATATTAAGTTGGGTTTTGGGGGACGTTTATGGAGAAAACTTGGTTCCTATTTAACAATTTCTATACATATTGTTTGAAATCCTGGTGTGGTGCTATTGGTTAATGCGCTGGACTGCAAAGTCGGTATGAACTGTAAGGTTGATGGTTCAAGCTCACCAGCCGCTCCTCAGAAATCCTATACAGGGTCACTATGGGTCAAAATTGACTCGATGGCACTTAACAACAACAATACATATTGTTCAGTGACATTAATTCCATTTTTAAAATAATGTGTCAGTATTCTCTTATTATTTCCATTCTGGTTGTTTCATTTCCATTAATCTAGCTTCCCTATCACCCCTCCCCCCCTTTGTCTTCTCATTGCTTTAGAGGCTCAGTGCTGACCATTTGCTCTTATAGAGATGATTCTTTAGCACAGCACACTACTCACAGGTGATCCTGTTTGTTTGTTTTTATGAAACAATCTGTTATAAACCTGAGAGATGACCTCCAGGTGTGGTTTCAGTACAAAAGTTTAAAGGGGCTCTCAGGGTAATAGATAGTCTCTGGGGTACTTCAGCTTCTGAAGCTGTTGTTGACTCCTTGTTGCCTCTTTTCAGATTCCGTAGCCTGTCCACAGCCAAGCTAACTCATTCCTTCTTAATGATTTTATATCCTTAAAGCTTTTGCTGAAATTCTTTCCCCTGCCATTAATATAATATTACAGCGTTCTCATGTCCAGTCCTTGTTCCTCTTGTTGATGTTAAGTGCTGTTGAGTCGGTTCCGACCCATTGTGACCCTGTGTAAGGTTTCTGAGTTGCCGTTGGTGAGCTTGAACTGCCCCCTTGGGGTTGAAACCGACGTTGCAGTCCAGCACATTACCCCACAGTACCACACCAGGACTCTAGAGCTCCAATATGTAAGTAATAGTTTTCAGTTAAATTGGTAGATATTTCCAAACTGGCTTCTGATTATTTTAATACTTTTTGTAAAAGCATTTCTCAGCTGAAAACATTGAATGGATGCTGATATATTAAGAATCTGAGAGAAATAATTTTACATAGTAAATCATATTTATGATATGACTAATATATTAAGGAGCTCTGGTAGCGTAGTGGTTATGAATTGGGCTGCGAACCGCAAGTACAGCAGTTCGAAGCTACCAGCTGTTCTGCAGGAGAAAAATGAGGCATTCTGCTCCCGTAGAAATTTACAGCCTCGGAAACCTATACGAGTCACTATGAGTTGGAACCGACTCCACAGCACACAGCCACCAGCACCAATATAGTGTTGTTAGGTGTTGTCGAGTCGGTTCCTACTCATAGCAACTGTACACACAACAGGATGAAACACTGCCCAGTCCTGTGCCGTCCTCAATTCTTATTACGTTTGAGCCCATTGCTCCTGCCACTGCCAGCCCATCTCGTTGGAGGTCTTCCTCTTGTTTGCTGACCTTCCACTTAATCAAGCATGATGTCCTTCTCCAGGGACTGGTCCCTCCTATAACATAACCAAAGTATGCGACATGGAGTCTTGACATCCTTGCTTCGTAGGAGCATCCTGGCTGTACTTCTTCTAACACAGACTGGTTTGCAAAGTATGAGCACCAAATATTCCTTCCACAGCCATCTCTGTTGAACTAGGTTTGGTAATTTGTTACAATGACCACACAGAACTCAAGTCACCATACTCACAGTTAGGGGGTTTATTAGGGAAGTAAACAGGTTATAAATGCAGGGTCAGAATTGCTCTGGACACATTATTCCACAGAGGACAGCTTCTCAGCTGTGCCCACAGACAGATCTCTCTGCCCGGCCAGTGTCACAGAGCTCTTTTAGAGTTGTTAATAAGGAGCTCTGGTAGCGTAGTGCTTACGAGTTGGACTGCCAACCTTAAGGTCAGCAGTTCTAAACTACCAGCGGTTCCTTGGGAGAAAGATGAGGCGTTCTGCTCCTGCAAAGATTTATAGCCTCGGAAATGCTGTGCAGGGTCACTATGAGTCGGAGCAGATTCCACGGTACTTAATAACAACAACAATAGATGCTAACAGGACACACCACACCACCATAAGCCTCAGCCTGAAGGCACTTGGCTCTGAGTCCATGGATTAGCAAACCTAGCTCCCCCACTTACATGCCTGGAGGTACCCCACTCTACAAGCCAGCCTCCTGCCCAAAGTCACTCAGCTTGACTTGCTCGGGGGCTGGGAAGCCCACCGCTCTTTCATTTTCTGACTTGTGGCTCTGCTGCTGCTCCTCAGCTGCTCTGATGTCACAGCTTTCTGACCCCGGGTTGAGGAGGTTCAGTGCGCAGGGATCTCGGGGTCCAAAGGACACGCTCTGCTCCTGGCTCTTCTCTGATGGTGGTGAGATCCACTTCCTATGTCTGAGATATTTTATACACATTAGAGTTCCAGAATTTTACAATCACAGTCAGTTCTGCTCAGTACTCACAGTTAAATCATAGGATCTTATCAGTGTCTCTCCCACCTTCTCTTAGCAAGACCTGGCAGGAGGCAAACCTTGGTGGGAGTTGCAGACTATGACCAGAAGAGATACTAAATAATTCACCGCACCACAGTTGTGATGAGTTGGAAGCCACTGAATGGCAGCTAACAACAACAGCAGCATAGTTCTCTTAGCCGAATTTGAGGCTTTGAATAATAGGAATTTGTGAGGCAGGTACACAGGTACAGCCTGGGCTGAGGTGTATGTTTGGGAAGCTGTAGAGACGTCAGTAGGATGATTTTTGGAGTGAGACAAAGTCAGAGCTGAGCACGGTCCCAGGTTTGTATAGGTCCGTGAGTATGAGGAACCTCTCACACCTTTTATAAGGCAGAGAATGATGTGATTACACTTTTTAAAAAATCACTTATTATATTTTTTTCCTGATTATAAAAGCAATGAATGTCCTCCTGGAAAATGGGGAGTGACTACTAATGGGGAAACCCCAAACCAAATCCACTGTCAAGTGGGTTCCGATTCAGGGTGCCCTGTAAGACTGAGTGGAACTGCCCCATGCGGTAACCAAGGCTGGAGTCTTTAGGGAAGCAGACTGCCACATCATTCTCTCACAGAGCAGCTGGTGGGTTTGAACAGCTGACCTCTGTGTCAGCCAGGTGCTTGAACTACTGCACCACCAGGACTCTTGCTCTTGGCTCTGGGGCTCCCTTTTGGGAGTGATGAGAATGCTCTCAGGCGGATTGGTGATGAATAGACCAAAAGCCAGTGACGTAGACATTGTGGATGTGTGCATTGTGAAGCGTGTACATTACATTTCAATAAAGGTGTTTCCAGAAAAATGAAAAACAAAACTAAAAGAATCGAAATAACTTGTCTTCGGTTATAGAGCTCGAAGTGTGGGAGTAGCGTTTTGACTCACACACCTTGGCTAGTACCCGCAGCACACAACAACAACAACAAATACAGCTTTAGAAGTGAGGTTACAACATTAAAGGGTGTGATTTCAGACTCGCTTCTTCACAGAATGCGTTGGTAGCAGTGGGAAGGTATGCTGAAGGGGATAAATGTTTGGGAACATTTGGGTTCAGTAGTAGCATCCTTGCCTTCTACTGGCTCGCTCAGGCTCCCTGGGTGGGTGGCATAATTGGTTAACTGCTAGACTGCTCGTTGAAAGGTTAGAATTCTAGTCTACACTCAGGTCCTCAGAAGAAAGACCTGGTGAAACCCTGTGGAGCACTGTACCTTGGCACACCTGCAGTTGCCATGCTGTGGAGTGGATGGCAGCAGGTACTGATAGCTGTGGGAGACCCAGTCACCTCATGTGTGGCCACCACTGTCTGTCAGGGAGGGCTTGTGTGCTGCTAGGAGGCAGAGCAGGTTTCAGTAGAGCTTCCAGACTGAGACGAGAGAAAAGGGCTGCTGATCTCCATCCAAAAATCAGCCAGTCGGATCCACCATGGTCGGACAGACCAGGTGACGTTTTGTCCCAGGGCTGACTTCATGGCAGCTGTTATAACAAGGCCAGTCAGGAGCACACTGAAGTAACACTGGCCTGGGCTTGCTGTGAGCGGTGAGGAGAGGCTCATTTGGGAGCAGATCTTCTGAATGTTGAAAACTCAGTAAACGTTCTTACTATTTATCGTGATACCTGGAAGCTGGCCCCCACTGTCTGCGCATTCCCTGTTAGACTGTGCTGAACTGCTTTCTCAGATTCACAACACAGTGTGTCTCAGAAGGCCTGTTTTCCTGAACTTCTTTCTCATCCCAGAAGGAGAACGGACAAAGTAATAAAGGTAAACCCATCATTCAGTTTAAAATGTGTACTTGCTACCCTTGGGCTTCAAAAGTCACAATGTTTCTGAAGGGCTTTGTAGCCATGCTTCCCTTCCAATCCTTGAGGCTCACTTTGCTGGCCGCTGGCACTGTTTCCGCCATGTTGCATAGCAGATCATTTAGGCTGGAGAAATGAAGAGACTCTAAGCTGTGTCCCACAGGGAAGTGAATTGTTGCCTGAAGGATTGTGTTGGGGAGGGTGGGTGCTAGGCACGCTTCCTGCATTTTATAAGTTGTTGTTGTTAGGTGCCATCAAGTCGGCTCATAGAGACCCTATGCACAGCAGAACGAAACACTGTCTGGTCCAGGGCCAACCTCACAATTGTTGCCACACTTGAGCCCATTGATGCTACCACTTTGCTAATCCATCTCACTGGGGGGGGTCTTCCTCTTTTTCTCTGACCCTCCACCTTACCAAACATGATATCCTTCTCCAGTGATTGGTCCCTTCTGACAATGTGTCCGAAGTATGAGAGACGAAGTTTGGCCATCCTGGCCTCCAAGGAGCACTCTAGCTGCATTTCTTCCAAAACGGATCTATTGGTTCTTTTGGCAGCCCATGGCACTTTCAATATTCTCCTCCAACACTGTAACTCAGAACCGATGGCCAAACCCTCCATTGCCAGCAGGTGGCGATCATGAATGGAAATTGATCTTTCTGTAATGCATTTGCCCTTTCCAAGCCGAGCAATGTTGGGGGAGGATTTCAATCCTGGCACGGCTTTTCTCCATTTCCTTTTAGAAAGTTTACGTTTTTTAAAGGAAGGAAGTATTAGTAAATTGTTTGGCTCTTTGCTTGCTGAGGACTTGTCCATAGGCTATGCTCTTGGCTGAGAACCAGGCAACACTTTGGGGAGCATCAGTGGCTCCAGACCAGAAGGGACTGACTGTTTCTTTTTGCCCACTTTGCAACCTGGCTTATCTCCTCCCAGCAGCTGCTGGTACGGAGCTAGTTAGTTCTGCCTTCCTCCAGTTCTCAAGCTGAGGGGCCCATTGGCTCCTTGAGGAGGATTGCCAGGCCCCTGGAGGACCCTCCCTGGTCAGCGGGGGCCAGTGGGAGACACTGAGTCGCTGGGCTGCCGTCTGGCTGAAGAGTGCGGCTCCTAGAGGTCACTCTGTGTTAGCACCTTCAGTCCTGGACATCCTTCCCAGCTGGTCTCTGCTGTCTGGGCCCTGCTCTGTGAAGTGTTAGCACAGGTCTCCACCTTTGACTGGACGCAGCCTGGGACTGCTTTCTCACATCCAACACTGTTGGATCTTGCCCTGAAACTCCTGGACATGTACCTTCATCCTCTCCCTCTGTTGAATTGCTGCTTAACAAGCCACCCCAAACCTAGGGGCAGGAAGCCTCTGTCGTCATTTGCCGTGGCTTGGGAGCTGTGCGCTCAGTTGGGCAGTCAGACGGGAGTGAGGCTGGTGTTACCTTGCAGGTTCCTCACGCATGGCCACCAATCTGCTGGCCTCATTGCCCTGTGGCTGCTTCCAAGAGTAGATGTTCCCAGAGAGAGCCAGGAGGAAGGAAGCAAAGAGCTGCTTACTCAGCCTCTGAAGTAACCGGGTTTCACTGCTGCTGTGCTCTGTTCATTGGAGTGGGTTACCAAGGCCTCTTGGTGGAAGGAGTGTCAGTGTCTTCAGATGTATTTTAAATCCACCATCCCCTGCACATCCCTGGGGCCCAAGAGACCTGCTTAGCTGCATGCACTGATATGTTCATGGACCCCCAAGGACTTGGGGAAGGAAAGTTGTGAGAAACTTCTCCTGGATTCCTGAGTTGCTGCCAGTTCCTGGCGCCCCTTGTGCCCCCTGCACCCCTGCCATATAGGAGGCTAGATTTCTACAGGGAACCGTAGGTCTGTGAGAATGAGCCCATTTTACAGAACTAGTCCGAACAGTAGCGGAGTGTAAATACGGGAGCCTGTGGTTTCGTGTTTTATTGATTGAGCTTTAATTTGGGGATGTAAATTTGGTTTTACTGGAATGTTCTATGGCTGGCCAGCTGAGTCTGGTAGGCAAAGTCTGTGTCTGAATAAACTTTCCAAAGCAGAAGTAGTGGTGCTGGACGGTCAGAGAGCTGCACCTCGGGACACTTGGGCCTCCCTTAGGCTGACTGCACCTCCGGTCTGGGCTCCCTGAGGTCAGGCCCCTTTAGAAGACTGACTGTCAACTGTGGCAACAAGGCAGAGAGGTGGCCCCAATTTAACGCCACACTCTGATCTTGTTTTAAATTTTTTTTTTTTTTTTTAATCTTTGTGTTGTGAATTGGGTGAAGGTTTGCAGGCAAGACCATTAGCTTTTCATTCAACAAATTATATAGGCTTTGTTTCATCTCAGTGATCCCAGTCCCCTCCCTCCCTGCAACATCAGTAATCCTACTTCCTCCCCGTGGCTTCCCTTCTACTTCTTATATTTCACAAATGAACAAAGCAAAAATATTGACATACACATATAATACACAAAACATATTTATTTAAATTCTTAAGGACCTATTCTGCCAGCCAGCCTCCTGCCCACAGGCACACAGCCTGACTCAGTCCCTGGGCCTAGAGCCTGCAGATGCTGTCTCTCCCTACCACTGCCTGCTGTGGCCGCTTTTCTAGGTAGGATTTCATGTTCTACTCATGCTCTTCCTTCTTGATGGTCCTGGGATCGTCTGTTCCTGAAAGGAAAGATTAACTGCTCCCCCTTTTAGTTTCACACTTCTACAATTACAGTTTTTTGAGGACTAAGGTGCACCTGACCCAAGCCATGGTATTTCCAGTAACCTCCTATGAATCTGAAAGCTGGACAGTGAATAAGGAAGACCGTAGAAGAATTGATGCATTTGAGTTATGGTGATGGAGGAGAATATTGAAAGTTCCATGGGCTGCCAAAAGAACCAATAGATCTGTGTTGGAAGAAGTGCAGCCAGAGTGCTCCTTGGAAGCCAGGATGGCCAGAGTTTGTCATCCATACTGCGGACATACTATCAGGAGAGACCAATCCCTGGAGAAGGATAACATGTTTGGTAAAGTGGAGGGATGGAGAAGAAGAGCAAGGCCCCCAAGGAGATGGATTGGCCAAGTGGAGGCAGAATGGGCTCAGGTATAGCAATGATTCTGAGGTTGGCTCAGGACTGAGCAGTGTTTCCTTCTGTTGTACCCAGGGTCACTATGAGCTATTACCAACTCGATGGCACCTAACAACAATACCACAATTACAGTTGTGACAATCACAATTAATCCTGCTAACAGTTACCACTGAATCACAAAATCTATCCCCATCACCCCCCCCATCCCCTTTCACTAGATCCATCTGGAGAAGAGGAAAACTGTTCAGCGGGGATTCTACCTGACCTCCCTCAGTCTGAAACTAAGCATACTTACAAAAGCTTGTAAGCTAACCACTTCATGCCTTGATGTTGTTGTTGCCTTGATAGACCCCCATTTTTGGTACCCAATGTCTAGAGTGCCCATCCCTATCAACTCAGTGCACTGAAGAAACAAGATCCTTGATATGAAGAATCCTTCCATTCCGGTTGAAATTTGAGCAATTATATCCATAGCAAAGGTCTGGTGCATCAAATTGTAGCAATTTACATTTGCTCTCAGTATCAAGCATCTTTATCTTCATCAGGTTGAGTTCCGGTCAGCTAGCCATCTAAGCTAGGTCAATCGGGTACTAGCTGCAAGTTTGGGAGTTCATGCACGCCTCCCTACACTTCAGCCCAGCTGGCCGCTTCACTCTCGGCTCTAGTCCCCAGGGACTAGGTCTGTGCCCATGGACTTGTATCTCTCTAAAATTCAGCCAGGTCTTTTTTTTTTTAATGGAATGGTTGAATAATCCTCATTCTCTGTGTCTTGATACAAGAAAGGACCCCTGGTGGCACAGTGGGTTAAGCATTGGGCTGGTAACTGCAAGGGCAGCAGTTCAAACCCACCAGCTGCTCCACAGGAGAAAGATGTGGCTGTCAGCTCTTGTAAAGATTTATAGTCTTGGACACCTTCAGGCTAGAGGGTTGCTCTGAGTCCAGATTGACTCCCATGGTAATATTTTTGGTTTCTTTGATTTTGATAGGAAAAGTTTCACAGATAAAGTGAGGTTTTGAAGAAGGCAAGATAAATGCTTGGAGTGGAAAATCCTTTCAAATGGAATGACATTAAAAATGGTATTTGGATTAAAAAACCGAGGTTAGCAATATAGTACATGTGGTGGTGGTGGTGGTGATGTGCCGTGGAGTTGTTTGTGACTCATTGTGACCCTGCGTAGGTTTTCCGAGGCTGTAAATCTTTACAGGAGCAGAAAGCCTCATCTTTCGTCTGTGGAACAGCTGGTAGTTTCGAACTGCTGACCTTGAGGTTAGCAGCCGGACTCGTAACCACTTTGTTACCAGAGCTCCTTGTAGTCCATTGGATTATTATTTCCACTTAGAAAATATGTTTAGTATTTCTGATATCCATCAATTCAGCCCCTTTAGAAAATGAGCCACGATCATGTTTCTGGTGTTCAGAGCCCTTTAAACAGTATTGCTTTCTTTGGTGACTGATACCCACAGTTATAACTTTCTCCAGTCACTATTTATGGGGTAGCTAAATAGCCAATATACATCCTAATGCAAAGAAGAAATAATATAAAAATAGTCATTGCTTTTAGGCTTTATATTAGGTTAGAAAAACAATTCTCTATTTTACAGTGTATCATTTTGTTTTCAACAGCCAAGGGCTCTCTAAAATTAAAATCTCTACTGTCCAACAGAACAATGTGAGGCTGGCCTGGGACTGGGTTGTGCTTCATTCTGTTGTGTATTGGGTTGCTATGAGTCGGGACCGACTCAACACCACCTAACAACAACTACTGTTTAAAAACACAACAAAAAAACCCCAGAATGCAAAACGCCCAGCAGTGCGCTTAAACGAAGTTAGCAAGGCTAACAAGAGAACGCGTGGCCACCTGGCTGTGGGAGAGATTTACATCACTCTTGTCACTGACTGCTTGCTGCTTGGAAAGATTGTACAACTTTCTGTGGCTTTAACTGCCATTGTGTTAGTTACATATATCTCTTGTCTAAAACTTGGCATGCACTTCTTCAGATTTATGTCTGTCTTTTTGAAACATGACGTCTCAATAAATTTCACTGGCGTCTCTAAGACAGCTTCATTAAAAGAACAAAACTCTTAATGAGACGTTCTCCTTATAAGGTGGCTTTTGCATAGCCAGGCGTTTTGGCTTACTTCACATTGCCTCATAAAATTTTGGACAGGGGAGAAAGTGGTTCAAAGCTCTGCTTAATGCTCTGGAATATAGTTGTTATCCTTGAGTTGTTACCCAGATGGCTTATAGTAACAGGCAGGTCCTGTTTATAGCTCAGTGAGAGGTTTGCAAGGTGATTCGAAAATGGTCACAAACACTTCAGTTGCTCGCTTTTGAGATTCCTGCAGGTTGCTGGCAGTTAAGTCTCTTGCCCCTCAGATTTTGAAATTGTTATAAATTCCAGTTCTGGCCTCCTCAGGCACAAGTTCCACAAATAAGCACTTCTAAGGAAGACCGTAGAAGAATTGATGCCTTTAAGTTATGGTGTTGGAGGAGAATATTGAAAGTGCCATGGGCTGCCAAAAGAACCAACAGATCTGTTTTGGAAGAAGTGCAACCAGAGTGCGGCCAAACTTCGTCTCTCATACTTCGGACATATTGTCAGGAGGGACCAGTCTCTGGAGAAGGATAGCATGTTTGGTAGGGTGGAGGGTCAGAGAAAAAGAGGAAGACCCCCAGAAATATGGATTGCCAAAGTGGCAGCATTAATGGGCTCAAGTGTGGCAATGATAGTGAGGTTGTCCCAGGACCAGGCAGTGTTTCATTCTACTGTGAATACGGTCACTATGAGTCAGTACCGACTCAATAGCACCTAACAACAACAACAACAGTACTTAATTGAAAAATGCATGAAAGAGGTTCTTTGTGTAGTCTCCAAGAGAGGGACTACTTTGGTGATGTTTGCAATGATTATTTGAGTGGCCATTTGATGCAGCTCATGGGTTTTGGTGCTTCATTCATTAGATAGCACTTGGATAGATGTTGAGCACAAGCTGTACAGATATTCTGTTGTTGGTTACCATTCAGTGGGAGTATCTTTGGAAGTTCTCATTTCTCTGATTTTGAATTTTATATATGAAAAAGCTTGAATAATATATATCATCGTTTTAATACCTTGTGAGTGGCAGAAAGAAGGTGGGACCCCTGTTCTTAAAGTATTTAAGGGGAATCTTGACAAATGGGTTCCAGGTACGTTTTCAGGGGTTCAAGTACTAGATGTAAATTCAGGCTAAATGGCTTTTGAAGGCTATCTTTTAATGCTGGGATTGGATGGTATCCAAACCAGCCCCACTGCCATTGAGTTAGTTGTAACTCAACAACACTGCAGGATGGAACGGACATACTCTGTGGGTTTCTGTAGCTGTAAATCTTCACGGGAGCAGACTGCCTCATCTTTCTCCCACAGAGCAGCGGATGGGTTTGAACCACTGACCTTTCTGTTAACAGTTTAGAGCTTAGCCCACTGTGCCACCAGGGCTCCTGAAATTGGATGACGCTGAATAGTAATTATATTAGTTCACTCTCGGGTGATATCAGTGCAACGTTGGGTGTTTAGAATCTTCTGCTTTTTGTCTTTTTCTATAGTTAAATGATTTCACTATGAATATTTGTTCTGAACAGCATTTAATCACACCACATGGAATTCCTTGGAATTACTGCTTGGTGGTGGATGGTTAGGACACAGTTGTTCAGGACACAGATGAAGCGGGTCTGGCTGACTGAGAACAGTGGTTCTCGAAGCAGTGGTGTGCAGCAGAGCCACGTGGGGAGTTTATTGGAAATGCAGATCCTCAGACTCCACCCAACATCCACCCAGTCACAGTCTCTGAGATCAGACCTCATCGTCCTTAGTTAGTTTAAGCAAACACTTTGGGTGCTTCTGACAGATTTCTAAATGTGCTTACCATATTTGTAGGTTGCAGCCTGCTACCACTTTTCCAAGTTATCCACTTGTGCAGAATGCATTTGGAAAGTCTTGGACCCAATCCTGTGAAATGAAATAATATTAACAGCTACCGCTACGCACTGATGACCTCATAAGGGCCTACTATTTTGCTGGGCACCTTGAATGTTTCTTCTTGGAACTGATCATTATCCCCATTTATAGATTAAGAAATAGGAATCAAAGAAGTTAAATCAATTGTCCAGGTTATCCAGCAAGAAAACAGTAGATATTTTAAATTATTTGTTATTAAGTGCTGTCAAGTCAGTTCTGACCTGTAGCAACCCTGTATAAGGTTTCCGAGGAGTGGCTGGTGATTTTAAATTATAGGTCTTTATAATTTAAAAAATGTTTCTACATGAAATGTGGTCTAAAATGAGGCTTTAAATATTACACGGTGTCTGGTTTAGGACCAACACCCTGTCATCAAGTCAGTTCTGTGTCCCCATACAGTACAGAGCAGAACAGCTTCAGAGGGCTTCCTAGGCTGCAAATCTTTACAGAAACACACCGCCACAACCTTCTTTTGCGGAGTGGCTGGTGGGTTTGAACTGCCAACCCTTTAATAAGCAGATGAAGTCTTTAACTATCGGGCCTCCAATCAGAATAGTGAGTTAATTTGTATTGGGGGGCAGTGGTGCTTTCATCCATCAAAATGCAGCCCTCAAGACACGGGGAATCAGGAGAAATGCTGATACCAGTGAGGATGAGCCTGGTCCATTGGTCTCCCAGGGCTGACTTATGAGGGGGAGTCTCCACAGGGAACCCCCAAGATTTCTGAGACTGGCTGCTCTGAGGCCAGACGGGGCTTGTTTCATGCTTCATCAAATCAGCAGAATGAACATCTGGACTCTTGTCTCCCTAGAATTGTTGCAGCAGCTCCATCAGCAGCTGGTAGATGCTGAACGGAGGTCAATGACATACCTGAAACGGTACAACAAGATCCAGGCCGACTACCACAATCTCATTGGAGTCACGGCCGAGCTGGTGGATTCTCTGGAGGCCACGGTCAGCGGCAAGATGGTGAGGAAGCGTGAGATGGGTGAGAGGTGGAGCTCCCCGGGGCTGCCTGGTGTTTCTGGGTCTTAGAAGTGTTCCGCCTCAGACAGGGTGCAGTCGTTCACTTGTTTTAGTGGAAAATATTTGGGTTTTCTCTCTCTGAAAGGTGTCTGCCTTACACAGCCTCCAGCCTTCTCAGGTTTTACCATTCCAAGATAAAGAGGCCTCGTGGGCCTGGACTTAGAGGGTGGAGCTCCGGTCACTCCCAAACCAGTGGAGCCCATCTCCAACTTCCGCAGGCCATGCGCAGCGTTTTAAATCTTGTACTTGGCAATGTTTTGCTCATTGCCCTTAACACATTTTCTACCTTGTCTTTCTTTTTCTACCTTGTTCGTTTTGTTGGAAAGGAGAAATTGTCTGGCACCAGGAACAGCAGAACAAAACTAGTGGCCACATAGAAATGCAGGGGCTGAGGGGTAGGCTGTGGGTATGTAGGAAAGTGACTGAGTTTCATATACTGGTTTTGTGCCCCCTTAGCCTTTGGGTATTAATCTGGTAGCTTTTTGATTGGTTCCCTTATATTCAGTTTTGACCGTCATGCCATCTATTGGGGGAGGTGGGAGTTAGCTCAGTACAGGTCATGGAGATATTTGTAGACCATGTGAAGGAATTTGTGTTCTACCCTATAGTTAGCAGCTAAGAAACGTAGGTCTTAAAATAGGACTTTGGACTTATTAAGTTAGTTCTTTTGTTTGTGTGTGTGTGTTTGCTTTAGAAATATCAAACACAAAGCCACTGCCATCGAGCCGATTCTGACTCACAGCGACCCTGTAGGGAAGAGGAGAATCGCCCCATAAGGTTTCCGAGGCTGTAAATCTTCACGAAAGGAGACCACCACATCGCTTTCCTGCAGAGTGGCTGGTGGGTTTGAAATGCTAACCCTTCAGTTACTAGCCCAACGCTTAACCCACTGCACCAAAACATGGATTAATTTTCTTCTAATACAAAAAAAAAAAAAAAAAAGAGGGCATCCTGTTTTGGCGCCATAGGATAAGTACTAGATCGCAAGGTCAATTTGAACTGCAAGATCGGTGGTGCAAACTCATCAGCCACTCCTTGGGAACCCTACAAAGGGTCGCTATGAGTCAGACCTGACTGGACGGCACTTACCAACAAGTCCACTTCATAGTAAGTCTGATGTCCTGTGAACACACCTGTAGTTGGTCAGGAGTGTTTTCTGTCAGACTGAGTGCTTTAACTCCCAAGGATGCCACCCGGTGATTTTTGACCTGGCGCATCTGGTCCATCACCGGAAGACTGTGGAGTCACAATTGGCAGCTCAGGTGAGTTCTGCAGATGCCAGACTCTCTCTTCACCAGACATTCTCTTGTCCTCTTTGCAGATCACTCCGGAGTACCTGCAGAGTGTCTGTGTCCGCCTCTTCAGTAACCAGATGCGGCAGAGCCTGGCTCACAGTGTGGACTTCACGAGACCCGGCACGGTGAGGCACTGGCTCTGGCTGTCAGCCGGCTTGCTCTGTCCCCAAACTCAAGTAACAATGGTGCCATTAGAAAAGAAACATCATGAGATAGTCCCATTCAAGGGGCTGAGGCTTGTGAGCTCCAAGGAGAAACTGAAGACTGTTTTTGAGGATCACATGTGGAACAAACAGCCAATGACAGAGTCCTGGGAGGGCTGGGCGGGAGGCGGGTGCCCTTCTGCTCCTCCAGTTGGAGCATTTCAGTAGATCACGAGGGCTGCTAACAGTTGGCAGCAAATGAATAGGAAAGGAAGGAGACATTTATTCTCTTTTTACAGTAACCAACAACCTGGTCTAAAGCAGGGGTGTGAATAATTGCAAACTTAGAAGAAAGTTGGGAGGACTTCATTTCCTCTCACTCTACACACATGTATAGTTTATTTTCGAAACAATTTGAGAATAAATTACATGTATTGTGGCAGTTTACTCTTTAGTAGTTCAGTGTATGGCTCTTAAGAATAAGAAGTTTTATTTTTACGTTAAGTGCAGTGGAGTCGGTTCCGACTCATAGCGACCCTGTGTAGGGCTTTTGAGGAGCAGTTGTTGAGTTTGAACCACCAACATTGCAGTTCAAGCCAACCTTGTGGTGCCGTGTGTATATTGTACTACAGCACCGCACGAGGACTGTTCTGGTATAAAAGCTCAGCACGGTGATTCACTTCAGTAACATTGACATCGCCAATCTGCTGCCCACTCTCCAGTCTGACCAGCTGACTCAACAGTACTCTTAAGAGCATTTGTGTCCCCACCCTGGGCACCTGGGGCCAGGTATTACACTTACTTGTGCCATCTCTGTATCCTCCTTTGCTCTTGACTTTTCCCAGCCTCTCTAGGACTTTTATGATAGTGACATTTTGAAAGAATATAGCCATCTTCTTTAAAAAATGGACACTTTGTTCTCTTGTCCTCCATCTTTCTTTATGATTTGATTCAGGTTATAGATCCTAGGTCAAAACACTGTTGTTGTTATTGTTAGGTGCTGTCGAGTCAGTTCCATCTCATAGCGACCCTAAACATGACAGAACACAATGTTACCCAGCTCTGTGCCCTCCTCCCAATCATTCCTGTGTTTGAGCCCATTGCTGCTGCCACTGTGTCAGTCCATCTTGTTGGGAGTCTCCCTCTTTGTGGCTGACCCCCACTTTACCACACGTGATGTCCTTCTCCAGGGAATGGTCCTTACAGCATTCCCAAAGTACGTGAGATGGAGTCTCTCCAGCCCACCTCCAAAGCATTTGGGCGGTGCATCTTTCAACACAGATTTGGTGGTTCTTTTGGCCTGTGGTGTATTCATTATTGGAGTCCTGGTGTGGTGCTGTGGGTTAATGTGTCAGACTGCAAAGCAGTTTGAACTGCAAGGTTGGCGGTTCAAGCTCACCAACTGCTCCTTGGAAACCCTATACAGGGTCGCTATGGGTCAGAACCAACTCAATGGCACTTCACAACAACATATTCATTATTCTTTGCCAGTACCATAACTCAGAGGCATCAATAATTCTTCAGTCTTCCTTATTCACTGTCCAGCTTTCACATGCATATGAAGCTTTGAAAATGCCATGGCTTGGGTCAGGCTAAACTTAGTCCTCAAGTAACGTCTTTGCTTTTTAACAAGTTAAAAAAAGTCTTTGCCAGTAGATTTGCCCAATATTTTTTGTTTGATATTTTCGGCTGTTCCTTGTCTTCATTGATGGGCGTTGTTGTGGGTACAAGTAAAATGAAATCCTTGATAACTTCAATGTTTTCTCTCTTCTCATGTCGCTTACTGCCCCTGTTATGAAGATGTTGGTTTTCTTCATGCTGAGCTGTAATCCAGACTGCAGACTGTAGCCTTTGATCTGCATCAGTTCATGCTTCAAGTCCTCTTCACTATCACCAAGCAAGGTTGTATCATCTGCATATCGTAGGTTATTAGTGAGTCTTCCTCCAATCCTGATGCTGTGTTCTTGTTCAGATAGTCCAGCTTCTCTGGTTATTTGCTCAGGATACAAATTAAACAAATGTGCTGAAATAATATAGTCTTGACTCGCATCTCTCCTGACTTTGAACCACATAGTAGGGCTCCACATGAGCACAGTGAAGTGTTCTGGAATCTCCAGTCTTTGCACTGTGATCCATAATTTGCCATCATCCACACATTCAAATGTCTTTGCATAGTCAATAAAACAACAAAACAGGATTGTTGTTGTTGTTAAGCACCATTGAGTCGATTCCTACTCATAGCGACTTTGTATAACAGAGTTTCCCAAGGGGCTCCGGGTGGGTTTGAACCACTGACCTTTTTGTTTGCAGCCCACTGCTCATCTGACAGCACAGAAAAATGACCTAGGTGATAACTATGCCCTCCTTAGAATATCAGACCTAGAGCACATGGCATTAAAACAGAGCTTACCAGTATCCTCTGAGGAATTTTTGAAGTCCACAAGCTCATGTCCCTAGAGTTCACACCCCCTGCTGCCTGGTTCAGAGTCTGGGGGGTAGAGGCAGGTGTCTGTGGTTGGAAGGAAGTTTCTGGTGATGGAAGCATCCCTATGGGCCAATGCCCCTAGCTCCGTGGTATAAGGTGTGGGCATCTACACTTTAAATGAAGATTTGCATCTTCATATTTAAGTCTTAATGAACAGATGCCATTTTTAGTACTTGAAAAAAATTTTCTATTTTACCTCATTTTCATTTTCTCATTTTTCGTATGAGGAAGCAAGCATATGAGAAATGAGAAATAGAAAATAAAAATAGGAGGTTATGGCTAAAGATAAGTTGTTGTTGTTGTAAAGTACCATGGAGTCAGTTCCGACTCATAGCGAACCTGCACAGGGTTTCTGAAGCTGTAAATCTTTACAGGAGCAGAACGCCTCATCTTTCTCCTGCGGAACCGCTGGTAGTTTCGAACTTGACTTTGAGGTTGGCAGCCTGTCTCTAAGGCCGCAACAAATAAAAATGAGCTGTTTTTGTTGTTGTTGAGGCCTTCGAGTGGGTCCCATCTCAGAGTGACCCAGTGCAGGGTTTCCGAGGAGTGACTGGTGACTTTGAACTGCTGACCTTGAGGTTCAGATGACCTTATGGTCCAGTGCATTATCCTGTAGTGCTATACCAGGACTCCTCCGCGAGTACCAAAAACGTACATCATAAGTCACCGTACACTTGGGGAGGTCGGCCAAATGTTTGGCTCTACGGTTCCTGGTAGGCCATGCAGAAAGGACAACACGACCTTCTACGTGACCGACAGTGTTTATAAAGCAAGAGAAGGTGGCTGTAGAGTTCTTTCTATGTACTATTCACTGTGTACAAAACAGCACGTGTAAGACTTGGGGGTCTGAGGCACACACACTGCAACTCCTGACATGAAGATCTGAGAAGAGTTTCAGTGTGGTGAGAACCAGCATCCCAGGTGCTTCCTGATGGAACATGCAGAGGTCTCTTAAAGCACTTAGTCTGGTCAGCTGCTCTGCACGTGGGCACAGGACATGGCCATGTGATGTGAGCGTGTAAAATCTGAGAATGGGCCATTTAAAAATGTCAGTAAAACACACCCCGGAAATCCGAGGTTCAGAACAATGGCTTCCTCGTGAGCCCTCAGGATGGCCGAGTGGACTTCTGGGCACACTGTGGATGGTCCAGCCCAAAGTCCATTCAGAGCAGATTGTAGTGACCAAAAACAACAGCTCCTTAGCAGTAATTAGCATAGTTGGCTTTCTGTCCATAGGGCCACCCTTTCCTCCTGCTGCCCAGTTACCCATTAATTCAGCAAATGCCCAGTGCTGTCTAGGTTTCAGTTATAAAATCCCATCATATCCTGTATGTACAGTAATTTACAACCTTTTTATAGTGAATTGAGTGAACATTTACAGGTCATCAGGTTTACGTACAACAAATCGCTTTGTTTCATCTCAATGACTGCGATCCCCTGCCTGCAACAACAGTTGTCCCGCTTCCTGCCTGTGTTTCTTGTTTTCAGTCCTCCTCTTATCCCAACCCTCCTGAACTTTCTCCTTGAGTAAATGTGGTCCTGTTCATTTTGTTGGTTGACCCTTCTGTGGTGTGCGTACCTCACTAGTGGTGTTGTCCCCTATAGACCTCTCTGTGCTTGGCTGAAAACTAAGCCGCCGGGGTGAGTTCAGTTCCAGACCTGCAGAGGGACCAAGGGTCAGTCTCAGGGTTCCACCAGTCCCGATCTCACCAGTAAGCCTTGTCTGTTTTTTTATGATTTGTACCAGAATTTTAGGTGGGATAAGGCATCCAACTTATTTAAGATTGTTTCTAAGATGTCTTAGTCTGGGTTTTGTAGAGCAGCAAAACCAGTGAGATGTTTCTGTGTATGCGTTCTGTCTCTCTATGTATATGTATATGTTGTTGTTGTTAAGTGCCTTCGCGTTTGTTCTGACCCATAGCGACCCTGTATAGGGTTTCCGAGGAACGACTGGTGAGCTTGAACTGCTGACCCTGCTGTTCAAATGACTTTGGAGTCCAGAGCATTAACCCACAGTGCCACACCAGGACCCAGATAGATAGACAGACAGACAGACTCGATGTCACTTAACAACAACAGCAACAAGGAGCCCTGGTGGTGCTGTGGGTTCGGTGTTGGGGTGCTAACTACAAGGTCAGTGTCTTCAAACCCACCACTCGCCTCACGGAAGAAAGACAAGGCTGTCTGCTCCCTTAAAGGTTTACGGCTTTGGAAACCCTTTGTAGGGTTGCTCGGAGCCGGAATTGACAAGATGACAGTGGGTTTGTGTGGTTTTTGGGGGTTTTATTGGGGGGTCTTCTTCCACAGTTTCAGATAAGACCCCGTTGCAAATAAAAACAGGTATCAGGTGTGATAATCCTTTTGTGGTGGTGGTTGTTAAGTGCTGTCGAGTCGATTCCGACCCATAGCGACCCTGTATAGGGTTCCAAGGAGCAGCTGGTGAACTTGAACCGCCGGCCTTGGCAGTTGACACAGCTTTGCAGTCTGGCGCATTAAC